AAAATGTCTACTACAGAATTCTCAGCAAGTACCAGCAAGGCCGACAGAGTAGACTTGCCACAGCCACTTGTGCCGCACAAAAGAACTGTCACAGACTCCTTTCTTTCTCGAATCCTAAAAGAAATTAAAGAACTATTCAGGAGTCACAAAGCATATAGATAAAAGCAGCAAAGCAAAACAAAGGACACTTCAGTTCTTCAAAGTAAATCAACAGGTGTCTTTCACAATGATAAGTAGAAAACAAAAACCTAGGAAACTACAGCATACTGAGGTTGTTGATGAAGCTGAAGAAATAATTCTGAATATCCAACCATTAGAAAAAGGCATAAAATTCTATCAATATATAGGTTCGCAATAACTCAAAAACAAAAAAAGAGCAAATCATGCAGTCAATATTAATCAAATTGCTGCAAGATCAGTGAAACCATAGGGAAAGCAGCACAACTATTTTGTTATATGCTATACATAAATCAAACCAAAATCTGTTTCACTCTTAGTTGATTTAATTCAATATAAGTTCTTCGTATTTTAGCCAATTAGAACTTATTTAGAACATCTCAAGAGGAAAAATGAGGATGATACACCTGCAAGCTAGAAGCAAGTCAGTTCTTTGATGTGGACTGACATATTTGTATAGGGTGAGGGCATCACAGACGATGTCTAAGAAGCGTTCCCTTGAAACAACAACAGTTGTTAGTCTTTTGTACAATTCAAAAGGCATTCCACTACTCATATCTACATTCTCTGGAGTCAGCCGATTAGTCATGTTTGCCTGGCCCAAGCCATCAATATCATGTCTGTTCTTTTCGCTGGATGGAATTTTCCAGCAATCTGAGCTCCTGCCATCAGGAGGCAAACGTCCACCTGAGTTCTCATCTCGCATCACTTCAAATACTCTTCGGCTAATCTGGGGGGAAAACAAAACCAAACTTCACGTTTAGACATCAACATTTCAATGATGTAATCAATACCAAAACAACAAGATTCTCCTGAATATTATGAGTTTGGAAATCAGGGCTAACGAAACATACAAAAATGAATAGAAGTTAGAAGCGCAAAATCCAAACTTTGGCTCCAAAATAATCACAAATTCTTGTCCGAGATGTCGTAAGAACTTAGAATTGACACCTCTAAAACTACGGTCATGTCCGATGATCTTGTCGAAGCATATACACAACAAAAGCGCAAGGAAACAGGATTATGGCATGCATGAACCGAGAACAAGAAGACAACAGAGCAGAGATTCTTCCTAACTCACATCCAGAAGCACGGAGGTAGCGGTTGGTCCATGCAATAACAAAATAAAAAAACGAGCCGACCGCCACCAGGCAGATCGCATCGAACGACCAACCTTGAAAGCATGACGAGCCTTGCAGCCCATGAGCTGCAGAGTGCTCTGCAGCACCGGCCGAGTGTACCGAAACGACAAGCTCCTCTTCCCGCCGACGCCATCGCCTCCTCCCCTCTCTACTTCGTCCACCACAACAATGTACAGCAACTTCAGCGCCTCCGCCATCTCTAACGACCTCAAAGAGAGACCGTGAAACAAAGATTGCAAGGTGAGGCAGAAGACAAAAGCGAAAAACCAAAGAAAAGGCAATGTGGGGGGCCTTCGACCCCCGATCGTGGGTGGCGACCAACCTGGGCCTGACGGGGGAGCGCGAGCCGCTCTCGCGGCGGGGGGGTCACGATCGGAGGCCCCGCTCTAGGGCTTCGATGGGAGCGTGGGAAGGAAAGATGAGGGGACTGGGTCCTCCGCCATTCCCGGAGTTTCCACCGCGCCGGTGCCGTCGTCCTCCCCCTTGTCGTCTCCTCATCTGACACGGCCTCCACGCATCGTTTCCCTCTAGCTTACACATGCCGCTGACTCATTCCATTGCTCCTCCTGCGGCCCCCTCCGCTGCAGGAGTCCATGTAAGGAACGACTTGTGATGGGGTCGGAGTCTTTGACAACTGTCGCGTATGTTTTAGGGCACGCAAGAGCGGCGTTATCAGCCAGTGTTGTTATTACTTAAACGTTATTAATAGTCGATTTTATGAACCTTAATTATGATGAAAAGGGATATTTTCGTCATTTCAAAGGACGGGCTTCCACCAGTTTGAGGAGGAGCGGTACGATGTTCCTGCGGATTGCCCGCCACGAATACTCTTTCTTGGCTCCACGTGGTCAGAGAAGATCGCCTGGACGATGTCCAGCAGGATCCGCCTAATCTCTCCGATGTGGTACAAGTCTACTTCCCCGATTCGACGAGATGGGTGAGAGTCGAAGGCTGAACCCTGGGCCGAACGATCCAGCTGACCATGGTTTCCTCCTCCCGATTTCGGACCCCACCGCCCCGACCAATGAGCCAGTTTCGGGAAGACAGATGTTTGGGCAGATCGAGGCACGCGTTTTCTGGATGACTCGCTTGCAGCACCACCGTGGGCCCCTCGTCGTCGCTCCCTCTGCCTCTCTTTCCGCGTCCCTTTACGAGGGTAAAGCGTGCAACAGAAGTCGAGGAATATATTTTTACGCATGTGAGGTGGGTCCCACACGCACGCACCCACCCACCCATGCGGCCTCCACTCCTGTGATCTGTACGCGGAACGTCTTTCTCATTAGGATACGACCATCGTACGAGAAGGACCTTTTGCCTTTTTCCGGTGAAGCGATGCCGCCTCTCGCGAATCTAAAAGACCCCGTCATCACAAAGAAGTTTATGCCGCAATTTAATTCGACTAAATGTAGCCTCGCACGAATCTCCAAGGCCACGGTTTCTGATTATTATTAAATCACACCAACATCGTCAACCTCTCAAAGATCGCATCGTCTCCAGCCTCCTAATTGTTCTTAGTTGATTGTGTCTCGTTACGTCGTGGCCGAGCGGTCAGTATGGCTGGGGTCAATTCCATATGTGTAGCGTTGCTTGGTTGAGCACTCGAGTCTCAGAAGCGGGCGTTGACCATCTCGTGTCCGGTGCAGCTCTTTGTCTCGGAGTCCTCAATGCATAGGGTCTTTCATGTCTCCGCTCGCGAGTCGGGTTGAAATTTGTCTCTTGAGGGTAATCTTTTCTGTCGTTGGGCTCTTGCACATAGGCCAAAGGCAGGAGGAAGATTTTTCGATCCAAACCCCTCTAATGTTTAAGTTAGCTTTTCGATTGAACGAATGAGAGCAGAATGTATAAGTCAAAAAGCCTCCCTCATGTTGGTCAAGCAATGGGCTTTTATGCTTGCCCATAGGGGTTGGTTGTTACCAGCCTCTTAACGGTCATCACCCTCCTAAGCGATAAACCTATACCTTTCACACTAACACGAATTGTCCTGTGCAGCATCACACCTGAGCGGAACAGTTCCTTCCTTTACGGGGTGGAGGCATACTCGAGTGACACCATTCCATTCTTTGCGGGATGACGTCGTACCCGAGCGACGTCGTTCCATTCTTCGCAGGACGGCATTGTATTGACATGATTGCCACACTAACTTCCTTGGCGCTGAGGTGGCTGCGGTCGACTACCAAGGGGCATGCTACCAAATTGTGCCCTATCATTACTTAATTATTTTTGTGGTTCAAATCAGCAAGTGTCGTTCGAGAACTCCAATCATTAATTGCTATTTTAGTCATCGAAATGCATTGCAGATTTCCCGTGATTAAAATGATTTTGTTTTCTTTCGATGCATCCCTGTACTATTCGTGCGTCATAAATGTCCCATTAATTCGAAATTAAATTATATGGCCTGCCACGTTGGCTCTGGGTTGTCAAAGGACGAAGCGGACGAATTGGGGGCCCAATAACAAGCAGTGGCGGCATCACTTGAGCCCATGGAAATCCTCACAGCTGCTACTAATCGAAATGGGTCGGTTCACTTGTCACCGAACCAAGAGACATTTCTTCTATCAAGTCCTCTCTCGCCACAAATAATTACGGTCGAAGCATTATAAAAATGTAATTTCATATGTTTGAAGATGTAGACTCGCGACATCCATAATACACATGGAGACAAATATAGTTCTGTCTGTCCATTCGTAGATTCGAGCAAGTTAGGTGGCACGGGCTACGTGGGTGCGTGTGGTTCGCACGCTTTACCAACCTAACGGCTGCATCAAAGAGACGGGACGGTAGGAAGCTCGTGCATTGAGAGCTATGAAGAAAAGGGCGGTGTTGGGCCTCTCACCACACCAAACCCCCTTAAAGCTCCACCCATGCAATTGACATGACTTCTCCTCATTGGCCCGCAAGAGGTCATTTTTTATATACACCATTATGGTTAAACGTTGAAATTGGAACTTCAAATCACGGCCAAATCGGCCGATCAGTACAACATATTTATGCATTGGCAGATAAATTAGGTTGGTACGTGGCACGTCAGTGATGAGACCGAAGAGTCCGATTGAACGACCGACCTCCAAACAGATGTGGAGAGATCATCTGTTGAGCAACATTTAGGTTACAGAAAGAAGGCTACAGTGACTTAAAGACTTTTAGGTAGCTGTAAGTGCCAGGCTTCGAGCATCTGTCGGTAGGACGAGCTGGATAGAATTCTGCTTCCCGTCTATTTTGATGGACCCAATCACTGTTAATGCAGCAGTTGAAGACGATTGTGTGAAGGCAGTGTGAGCCACGAACTACTTCTGGAAGGATGCTCGTCGATCGACACCAAGACTTGGCCGCAGATGCTTGTGTTGGTCGAGCGACGAAACACAGGAGAAGCCCCTTCTATTCGTCATCCCGTCGACAGTCGCGGGACCCGCATTTGATGAGCAATTGGAGGAGCTCTTCCTGTGTTTTGGCTGCGTCCCTGATCCACGCGCCACGCCTCGGGATGGGTCCCGCAGAGTGCAACGATTGGGTTAGAAGGAGAATCGTGGCCGTCGATTCCGTCATTATCATCTGGAGAATCCAAGCGAAGGAACGTGGCCACTGCACCGTTGTAAGTCGCAGGGCTATTCACGTGGCCTTTGATTAGTCGCGTCCTGTGAGCTATATAAACGCCCTTCTCTCCTGCTCCGTCTCTCTCCACCCGACCCACGGAGTTGCTCGACTCCGCCGTTTGCTCTGTCCATGTTTATGATGGGAAGGGATTTCTAGGTAGACTGGGAGAGAGAGAGAGAGAGAGAGAGAGAGAGAGAATGGGAACGGAGACCATGGAGCAGCCACTGCTGCAACAGGCGGACGAGGAGAAGGGGCCCGGGAGGAGCGACGGAGGGGAGGCGGAGAGGGTTTCGGAGACGAAGGTGGAGGATTACCCTCCGGTGAGGGAGGCTCGGGAGGCGTGGGAGGTGTTGGTGGCGGAGTCCAAGAAGCTGTGGTCGATCGGGGCGCCCATCACGTTCAACGTATTATGCCTCTACGGCTTCAGCTCCATCACCCAGATGTTCGTCGGCCACATCGGAAACCTCGAGCTGTCCGCCGTCGCCATCGCCCTCAACGTCGTCTACCTCTTCAACTTCGGCTTCCTCGTAAGACCTCTCCTGATCTTATCCCTTCTCTCAATTGCTGCTTAACGCATAGCAAAATATGTCTTCCACATGTGTCTAATGTCACAATACAACAACAAAGAAGAGGAATTCGCCAGCCTCGATAGCTAGGTTGGATCATGTAACATGAACTTGGAGGTAATCGACACGGCCAAGTTGACCACCGACAGACTATACTCGGAGAGATTTGCCTTCTTGTACAGGGGAGGTTCCGAGCCGTGTTATAAGGTTTGGACAACGTCCATAAATGTGACACTGTGCAATATATATTGGGGGACCAGATGTCGAAATCCTCTATAAACTTGGATTAAGATTTCAAACTATAGTATAAAATATTTAAAATATCCTTAACATTTATATAACGTTTGTGTTCTATAAAATAATTAATAGAACTCGGCAAGATCTGCAAGTTTTAATGGATATATATATTCATCGTTCCAACTGCAATTCTAACCGTGAAAGATCGTTCCAAGGAAACTTAGGGCTCATTCTATGATGTTACTTACGGTGCTATTGTTGATAGCTCGGCATGGGGAGTGCACTGGAGACGCTCTGCGGGCAAGCCTTCGGTGCAGGCCGCGTCGAGATGCTCGGCGTGTACATGCAGCGCTCCTGGATAATTCTCGTGGCTTCTTCGATCGTCTTGTGTCTGCTCTACATCTTTGCTACGCCAGCACTGAAGCTGATCGGCCAGGAGGACGACATCGCCGACCTCGCCGGCAAATTCACCATCAGCATCATCCCTCAGTTGTTCTCCATTGCCTTCATCTTCCCCGCCCAGAAGTTTCTCCAGGCTCAGAGCAAGGTACTCGTCATGGCTTGGATCGGCCTCCTGGCCCTCCTACTTCACGTCGGAATGCTGGTGCTCTTCATCTTCGTCTTCGACTGGGGCTTGGGCGGTGCTGCTGCCGCATTCAACATCTCGGGGTGGGTGGTCTCCCTGGCTCAGATCGCGTACATCGTAGGGTGGTGCAAGGACGGGTGGACCGGCCTTTCGTGGTCCGCTTTCAGGGATTTATGGGCGTTCGTCCGGTTGTCGTTTGCCTCCGCGGTGATGCTTTGCCTCGAGATCTGGTACATGATGATCCTCACCGTGCTCAGCGGCCACCTCACCAACGCCGAGGTTGCCGTCGGCTCCATTTCTATCTGGTAACCTCATGCAGCAATCATCCCGTGTTGTCGTCGATCGAGAACCGTGCTTGACAGATGTTCTTCGCATTGCAGCATGAACATCAATGGTTGGGAGGGCATGGTATTTATCGGACTCAATGCGGCGATAAGGTAGAACCCACTAACGATCAGTTCATCGGACAAGTTTCTCCTCTCACCACCGCTGATACTATCTCGCCGCAACACAGTGTTCGGGTGTCCAACGAGCTGGGAGCAGGTCGCCCCCGGGCCACCAAGTATGCTGTCATCGTGATCCTCCTCGAGTCCCTCGCCATCGGCCTCATCTGCATGGTCGTCGTACTCGCAACACGGAATTACTTCAGCATCATTTTCACGAGCGATAAAGAGATGCAACGGGCCGTCGCCAACATCGCCTACCTTCTGGGCATCACCATGGTGCTCAATAGCATCCAACCAATTATCTCAGGCAAGCATGAATTCTTCTTGTTCGATTAACCACGGTGAATGCTAGAGTTTGAGTCTGGCAACTATGCTTTACGGAAGCTGGATGTTTCCTTTGAGGCAGGAATCGCTGTGGGAGGTGGCTGGCAGGGGCTGGTGGCTTACATTAACTTGGGTTGCTACTACGGTTTTGGCCTTCCTCTGGGTTTCGTTTTGGGTTTTCTCCTCCACTTGGGGGTGAAGGTAAACTTCCCACCTAAAACGAATGGAAAGTAAAGCCAGAGAAACCTTCGATGACATGCTTCAGCATACAATTAGATGCACAAACACGTCTTAGTTCTTTTCTGATATAACATTAACTGGTCTCAGGGAATCTGGGTCGGCATGCTCGGTGGAACTCTTCTGCAGACTCTGGTACTGTTCTTCGTGATCTGGAAGACAGATTGGAGTGCAGAGGTAAAGACCTACAGATCATAAGGTTTCATCTACGAATGTACTGTTTGTGTTGCTTGGTTTCTCTGGGTGGAGAAGTAGACATCGAGAGGAAGCTAAACATGAACAAAAGGCTGATGTTTCATGGTTTGCTGACATTGCAGGCATCCCAAGCGGCAGCACGAGTGCAGTTGTGGGGAGGACAAGAAGCTGAAAAAGCTCAAACCTGATCTCCATTTACTTCTTGCTTTTGTAACCTTTAGATGTCACTCACAAATAAATCTATTTTTCTATTGGATTTATCTGCAAATAAGGTGCAGAGGCCTATCAACTTGCTTGCTGTATTATGGAGATCAATTTTCCTTGGTGTATTATTGGATTTTTCAATAATTAATCATTAGAAGCAGAAATTAAAATTAATCAATAATTCTTTAAGGATAAAAGAATTGTAGTATATTCATGTTTACATTTAACAACCCTTGATAGATTACTCACAAAAGCGGAAATATTTCTAAAAAATATTATTATTAATGTCAGAAAATCACTTTTCCTTTTATTAAGATAAGAGAATTATATTAAATTTATGTTTACAGCCCGTAAAAAGATTATTATAAAAAATAAACATTAGAAAAGGAAATTACAATGAGATTACTCACAAAGCAAAAGTATTGCCAAAATACATTTCATGAATAATGTCAGAAGTGGGATTTGAACCCACGCCCTCTCACGAGGACCAGAACTTGAGTCTGGCGCCTTAGACCACTCGGCCATCCTGACTAATTTGAATCTTTTGTGCCTACATATGTTATATATAATATAATCGATGGAACATCAAATTGGCGCCGCCATCTGCTGGCGATCAGCGCAAGAGAAGGCGGGGCCTTAATGGACGGTCAGGATGAAGCGGCTTTCGATTTATACCGAAATGTGCGGGTCATTTCCGTCACTGCAATATCGGCAAACCCTAAACCCTAGCTTTCTTTCTCTATAAGTAAACTCAGCGTTCGACCCCTTCAGGTCTCTGCCGCCCCTCTTGCCCCACCAGAAACCCTAGGCGCCGACATGAGACCTCCACGAGGTTAGCTCTCATCCGGCTCTGGACCTCGATTCCGTTTCGATCTGCATTTCTTCTTCTCTGTTTTACTTTCTTCTGATTGTTACTCGACTTCTGAGCGAGGGAATACAGGCCTTTTTTGATTGCATTTTTGAACGGTTTTATCTGTTGAATGATATTGTTGTCTGTGCTACTCTGATTGTTTTTGTGTTTGATTTGTGAACTTTAATCAGGCGGTGGCTTCAGGGGACGGAGCGATGGAGGTGGGGGGAGAGGCAGGGGAAGAGGAGGCGGAGGTAGAGGCGGTGGTTTTGAAGGCCGGGGTGGCGGCAGGGGCCGCGGGGGAGGCCCGGGAGGCCGTGGAGGTAGGGGAGGGAGGGGCCGTGGCGGTGGCCGAGGTGGGGGCATGAAGGGCGGGAGCAGGGTCGTCGTCCAGCCACACAGGCACGACGGGGTTTTCGTGGCCAAGGGCAAGGAAGATGCTCTCTGCACGAAGAACATGGTCCCCGGTGAAGCCGTATATGGCGAGAAGCGCGTTTCTGTTCAGGTGATTCTTCTGTTTCTTTCTCCCTTGTTGATATCAGTGTCTGTCCTTAATGTTTATATCAGTGTATCTTTCTCCTGACTACGTTGCTTTTATCCTGCAGAATGAGGATGGATCCAAAGTCGAATACCGGGTGTGGAATCCTTTCCGCTCAAAGCTGGCAGCTGCCATTCTTGGAGGTGTCGACAATATATGGATTGTGGGTGTTCCTTCCTTCCTTCCTTGATTTAAGTGGATTGATCGGACCGTTTTACTTATTATTCAAACTAATGAGCTGTGAAAATTCTTACCACCATATTCTAATATCATATTTGTCAAACTATTAGCAAATGGACAAAGGAATCTTAGTTTTGGTTTAATTTGGTTTGTCTAAGTACGAGTTCATTTTACTTAATGGTGATTTCCAGAAGTATCACTTGATGAGCAGTTCTTTGGTGGCTTTTCAAGTTGCGCTTTGATTTCGTCAATTATGGTTCCTGTTATAATCGAACCCTCCCACCTCAAAATATATTGGTTCACTTTCCAAATATTTTCTAAAAAGATTCTGCATTATTATTTTTTATTTATGAATATGTTTGAGTTATTCATTTTATAAAGAAATTTACACCTGTCAAATAGTTATGCAAATTAGTATCTGAACAAAGTAAAGAGATTCCATGTTGTCTTTGTAGGACTTCTATTTCCATAACTTCACCTATTTTCATGTGGTGGTGATGTTCAGGGGCCACACCTTTGTGTGTAGAATCCAAAGCTTATCATTTGGATAATGACCCAATACATTTGATAGCTTTATCTTGATTATTTTTCCATGGAACTAACTCGAAACCATGAGGTAGAAGAGCGAGAGAGAGAGAGTTTGAGAAATTAAAGAGTAGAGGCGAAGAGTTTGATAGAAGGGGGACATGGGCATGCAACCTAAGTAAAACTTTATTCATTCTTAGATTTGGTTTTTAGTTTTTAAGGTACCAGTGAGAACTATTAAGTGGGCACATTTAATTAGCAAAACTTGTTGCAGAACATGAACATGGCTTTACCACACTTACATACTTCTTAATCCTTTGATCATACAGATTTATTACTATTTTATTTTCCATTGCTAACGCAACATTTTTGTTTAGGCTCCTGGGACTCGTGTGTTGTACCTTGGTGCTGCATCAGGAACCACAGTGTCTCATGTGTCTGATATTGTTGGACCGGTAAGTCAATGCTGTTATTTCAGTAAATCCTTTATTCTGGTTTTGTTAAATCGGAGAAATAAACAAAATCATTGTTGTCATGTATACATTACTCACTTGTAAGTTGCTTGACAGACAGGAGTGGTCTATGCTGTTGAATTTTCACATAGGAGTGGTAGAGATCTTGTGAATATGGCTAAAAAGCGAACCAATGTAATTCCCATAATAGAAGATGCTAGGCATCCTGCTAGATACAGGATGTTGGTTGGAATGGTTGATGTCATCTTTTCGGATGTTGCACAACCTGACCAGGTAAGAGTCACAGTTTTTAGCTATGAGTTTTCAGTTTATGATTGTTTCTGTTGTATATTTTTCATTGTGATGTAATATGTAACTTCTTGGGAGTTACATATTTTAATATGTAACTTCATTGTGATCCAATTTTAAATATTTTTTGGTTCTTTGATAATTGATGGATATTTTTGTTTCTGTAGAAGAATACGGTCTTTCTCCAACAGTTTGATTATTTCATATTTTAGCACCAATCTTTTTATTTTTGTAGTGTTGCATTTGGTTCTTATTTTTGTTTGGTATGATGCAATTTGGATTGGGAGTCATCGCTTATGATGAATATATCTTAAGAAATTGTTATTAGTTCTGTTGGATTTTGAAGATCATTTGTTGAATATATCATTTTACGTCCTCGGTTGGATTTTGAATATATCATTTGTTGGATTGTTATTAGCTTATGATGAATATATCCTTTTACTTCCTCTGCTCGTCTGTTTTTAATGTTTACTCCAAATCTTTTGATTTATCATCTTGGGACAAGCATATGATGAATTACTCGGATTCCCCTTCAGGACATCATGGATGATGCAAATTCGAGTTTCTGATGCACATAACCTGTTCTTGGAAGTGACTACGTTTATTACAGTATACTTGTGCTTTTCGACTTTTTGGTTTTAATTTCCTATTGAATATCATGAGTAATTCTTCTTCACTGTTCCAATGCATCTCTTTCCTTGGTTACTGTTAGTTTTTGAGCATTCTTCTTCATGTTCAATTAGTTAGATTTTGAATTAAACTTGAAAAGGTTTCAAAAGTTCAAAAGTTACTGTTCAGCATATTTGAATACTGTTATACAAGACTCTAATACAAAGGTGCTTTAGTTGCTTTTTTTTATTCTGATAAATGAAAGGTTTACTTTTGCTTTCTGAAATGATCTGTTTTTTACCGTTTTTTATACATCCAACCTTCATTTTTTTACACTACATCTCAAGGATGATGCTGTTCTTGCCTGTAGCATAGTGCATACTACCCATTTGTCAAATCTCTTAAGTATATTTAATTGTACTTTGATATCTAAGTGGTAATTTTTATTACATTTTTCCATTGCTGAGTGAATTACATCTTTTCAAGATGTGAGCCTTTGGCCAAATCTGAGTATTTCTCGGTTGTACTTTGGCCTTCAAAGGATATTTTCCATGTATTTTTGTTTATTCCTCTATGCTAACAGTAATACTAGATAAGTTGGTGGATGTATTGATTTATTGTTCAACCCATTTGAACCATTTCGTGATGATAGATGAGTAACAAGCAGTTAGAGGGAAGTATTGTGGAGTTTTGATAGCTAAACATGCCAACTTCAGTAGCATACAACTTAGTGCTTGTGATATTACATTCTAATATTTCTCCCTTCAAATTCATCGTCAGTTTTTTGTTTCTGCAGGCAAGAATCTTGGCTTTGAATGCTTCATATTTCTTGAAGAATGGTGGCCACTTTGTAATCTCAATTAAGGTACTCTTGGTGTACTTGTTTTTTTATTAACTTTCAGATTGTATCTTTGAGGTCCTGATTTTGTTCTTACCACTCATAATTTAAGTTTTGACTTTTGTCTAAAATTGCCTACAAAGTTTATCGAAGACTCATGTACTGTTTGGAAACATATTTCTTTTACAGGCAAATTGCATCGACTCCACGGTACCTGCTGAGGCTGTTTTTGCTCAAGAAGTGAAGAAGCTGCAGGCGGATCAGTTCAAACCTTCAGAGCAAGTCACACTAGAACCCTTTGAGCGGGACCATGCCTGTGTCGTTGGTGGCTATCGGATGCCAAAGAAACAGAAAGTAGCTACCGAAAGCTGATGACTGCGAGTTCATCCACTCGAATTCGCAGCTTATTACTTAGGCTAGCTTGTGTTCTTTCTGATGATACAAGCTGTCGACCTTTGGATGGTAGGCACTTGGTTACTTATGGGAAGACATTTATCGATCTTTTCTTTTACTGCATTAGACTTATATTTCTGTAAGATTCAGTGGGTGGTAGTGTTGGACGACTGCAAGCTTGGTAAAACTGCATTGAATGTGCCAGATGTATTTGAACCCGAACATGGTATGAGATTTATGTTCGCACCTTTTTTTGTTTTGATGGGCTTGTCGCCATGTATCATCCAACAGTGTTAAGCAGCTATACAACATTCGATGCTTATTTTATGGTCTTGTCGCCATATTCGTTTTAATTTTAAAACCCTGAAATAAAATAGCAACCTTAGTTCTTCGTTTTGTTGATCTATTATTGTATAAATTAGATCTTTTTAGTGGGACATCGGTTGTTGTAAAAAGAGATATTATGGTCTGTGGTGACGGTATTGACCATTGAAATCATCATTCCACGCAAGCAAAGAGATATTAAGCCTGCTGCTGTTTATGGGCTGGACCGCAGTTGTACGGCCCGGTTTCTTGAATGGGCTGGCTTTTTTGTGTAGTGGGCCGGATCAGGTTCTTTGACCCATGACACTCCTCTGCATTCTTCCCTTGCTCGGTGTGTGGGCCGAAAGAGACAACGAACAAAAAGAATCGTTGCGGCGACGGAGAAACGCGGCGATGAAGTTGCCGTGAGATCGCGAAGCCGCCTCGCCTGTGACCTCTCCCCCCGTTTGCGAATGGTCTGAGAGAAGAAAGAAAGCGTTCTCCCTCACCGCCTCCTTCCCCTCTCCCACTCTGTTTTCTCCGTTGCCCTAAATCTTTCCCCATGGAGTCCCCCGAGCTGCCCGGCGATTCCTCCTCTCCGGAGGCTGCCCCCCGGCTAAGCCCGCGCCCCAGATCCCCAACCCGAGGTATCGCTCTCCATCCGCTTACCCGAACTCCTTGCTTTCTTGAATTTCTTGATTGCTTCTCTTGATCTCATGGCTCGGTAGCGGGTAACTCGTGATTGTTATCTGTCTGCAAGAATGTGATAGACGGGGCGGTAGAGGTCAATAGAGGCCTTCGTGGTATTTTTTTGGGGTCCGTTTTATGTATGCATTATTGTACCGGGAATGTGCTGGTGTTTATGCCAGAGATTTGTGTTCTTGATGCCCACGTCGATGAGATTGTTTTGGTTGTTCCAGTTTCTTGAAGGAATCTGGTCACGTATCTTTCTTTTTCTTTTAATCATACGAAAGAACCCTAACAAAACTCTGAAACTGCTGCTTTCATTCGTTTGTATAATCTGTTGGGAGCAGTCTCTCTCGCTTTCATGACTCACAGGATTATGATACAATTGAAGTGGGAGGGTAAAACCTTAGGGCCTTGTGGACGGTCACTTGATAAGCAGATGAAAACATTAACTTGCTTGAGATACATTCTCTTGTGAATTATGGTTGTCCATAGATTAATTTATTATCTTGCACTTTTTCTTCGTCCGAATGACTTAGCTAACTGTTTGACACTTTTCTAAATGAAATGACTCAAAGGGTTATTTTATTTTAGGTTTCGGTTTATGTACAAGCCATTTTAATTACTCCACTTTAATTGAAGCTCATCTGAGGGTTAGTGTGTCATCTTTTTCGTCATTTTTCTGGCTCTTCTACAGCATAATAGCTTATTCTTTCTATTGCGGTCCAGCTTAGAGACACACTCCAGATTTTGAGCGTTCACCCGGTTCTCCATTTATTTATTCCCCACTTGAATTTGTTAGCTCATGTCACATCATTTGGCACCTTCCAGTGAGTGTAGCTGTCACCAGCACCATCAGATATTCACTTGTTGGCTTAATGCACATTCGCAAAGGCTGTTGTTGAATGAATGGTTATGTTTTGATTTAGTTCCTTTGAAAATACTTAGATGATCCTTGTTCTTCGAGATAGCTTGTTAATGTCAGTTAGTTACCTGTTTACAGTTGAACATGAGTTCACCACATAGGAAAAAATATTTAGTTTGCTAGAGATGACTTAGTTGTTTATCTTCTTGGTAATGTTAATATATACTGTTTTTAATCAACTTGATAGTGACCTATTTTGCTGTTTATGTATCGAGTCTTTATTGTGAGATTAGACCGTGCAGTGGAAGCTTTTTTTTCTAGAGAAGTCCAAAATCTTTTAGATTAATATTGCTATGTAACTTAGGTAAGTAATTATCCTATATGATTTTCTTGGGCTTGACATAGAAAGTGAGGATGAATGTTGCTTTGTGAGAATAGACAAAGACAGGATACAAGGAAATAAATGTCTACCATTAGTTGATGCCTTTCTATCAGAATGATATTTGGACATCAACCATATTTAAGTGTCTTCATGTAATTATTTCCTACTACTACAAGACAAACAAGACTTGATTTTACTGGCCATATGAATGTTTGGTGAAAGGGAATTGTTAATTTTCTGTGTTATAGAATATATTAGACATTATTGGAGTCTGAGAAAATAGTTTTCTAGCCCCTTTCGTGCTGTTATTTATTCTTTTCATGCATGAAAACATGAGTTTGACTGTGCTGAAGAATGTTGACATATTCTGTCATTTGCAATTGTGTTGCATATAAAGTACCATTTTACTTTTCTTTGTTTAGCTTTAAGAACCTGATTTAGTTAATACTTCAATTTTTTTTCCTAGGCGAAAAAGAAAAGCATACACACATGAGATTTCTTGTATCAAACGTAGCAGCTGGGTGTATCATTGGGAAGGGTGGCTTGACAATAACTGAATTCCAGTCACAATCTGGAGCTCGTATTCAACTGTCACGGAATCATGAAGTTTTTCCAGGAACATCAGATAGAATAATATTGATTTCTGGGACACTTAGTGAAGTAATGAAGGCTATGGAACTGATCCTGGAAAAACTGCCAAGTCAGGTATGAATTGTATGTGATTTCTATTCATTAAAAAATCATACTTTATCTGAAGTTCTCTTTTCCAACAAACAGGTGGAAGAGAGCGATGATGTTGAAGGTAGATCAAAAATCAGGCTTATTGTTCCTAATAGCTCTTGTGGTGCTATAATTGGAAAAGGAGGGTCAACTATAAAGTATAGTCTTATTCTAATGCTTTCTTTATTAGTTAAGTGAAGTTGTACATTCTGACACTTGAAATTGGAAAATGAATGACTCATAAGTCTTAAACAATATTTGCACCTTTATGTTGTATAAAGTATGCTACTAGATGATCTGAATTGAGAAAGGTTCAGAATCATAAAGCTATTCCGAATGAATAAGACTGGCTTCTTTTTCCTTTTCAAATTTTCTGACTGATTGATCTGAACTCAGTATATTTATCATTTCACCTTTTATGCTCATTCCTGCTTTTTGTACCGACCGGTTTGCTAAAGAGTAGTTGGTTGCACCATCAATTTTGCAGGTCATTCGTAGAAGACTCCCATGCTGGGATTAAGATATCTCCTCAGGATAATAATGCTGGCCTAAATGATAGGCTGGTCACGTTGACAGGGTCTTTTGAGGAACAAATGCGTGCTATCTTTTTTATATTGTCAAAATTAATAGAAGATGCTCACTATCCACAGACATTAAACTCACCTTTTCCCTATTCAGGTATGCATCCATTATTTGTCCATCCCTTCCATTTTGTAGCACTTTTCGATATTGTCAAAATTATCAGGAGATGCTATATGGATGCCATTTGTTGTCCATTGTCAATCCGATATCTATATTCTCTGTGATTCTACTCAATTGCTGTTTCTTGTGCCTTAGAATTCTTTGTTTTGAACCTGTGTTACATGTTTTCAATTATTTTTACCAATTGAATAAATTGTGATTCTGTGAAAGGACAGTGCATAATTGTTGCTCCAATGAAAAATGGTGTTGTAACTGGATTACTTTGTAATGTCTTAGCAAGGAGCTAAAAATTCTCGTGTGAAGATTGCAAAGTTTGTATAGTCTTTTATTATGAATAATGTTTCTATTCTGTTCAATCATCAGGTTATCTGATTAAAAACCTTCAGTTCTTATGATGGTTTAATGAATGACTCGGTTGTCTACTGGTATTAGTTTAGTATTCATAGATAAATGTGTGCGTTTGTATGTGAATATGAATATATGGAATGCACCCCTTAGTTCCTTCCATGTTGAGATATTTGACTTGCTAAGGATAAGGAATGAAACAGTAATTGGGTCATAAAACCAAACAGGAACTTTTTTGAATTAAACTCTGCCTTTTGACCTTCTATCATGATTTCTTTTGAATTGAGTGATTTATCTTGATCAATGTATATTTTGCGGGGGAAAGAAATCAATTGACATTGTAACAATAAAAAACATGCCTCTATTACATATAGATGAGAATGTCTGAGAACCATATGGACCTCTCGTACCTGTTGAGTTAGGCCATAGGTATCGTAGTGTTAGTCTAGTTAGTTTTCTGTTGTGAGGTCCTCTTAGCAAACCTCACTGTGTGAGTTCTCTTTGTTCATGAGTTGAATTGCTCAGGGTGAGGAGCGATGATAATAAGAAACCATGTGCATGCAAGTGGCTTGATGAGCGACGATAATAATCAACATGCTTTGTCAATTGTAGCACAAAATGTATCTTCTTAGAAACATTGCAAAAGGAAGTTAATGATATTGGCTTCTGAATATTTTATTGGACTTGGTTCATAATTTGTGAGTGTTTATAGGAGCAGAAACTAAATAAAAAAGAAATTGAATGGAAAATTTGGATCTCCAATATATGATTGGAAACAATGGAACATGCAGATCTGATTGGAAACCCAAAAACAAAATTGTTTGAGTTCAGGATTTTCAGCTTCGATCATTGTTCAACGGGATACAATTAAATGCACCCACTTAAAGTATTAGATCATACAGCTCGGTTCCTTTAGGCATAACACATATTTTTCTGTTATTCTATTCAGTATTATACCATATGTGGTATATCACTCGTGTCTCGATACCAGACCAGTTCGATAGGTTATCCTCGAGCATGCTATCCTCTGATTTCTGTTCTTTTCAATCGCAACTTCTGTTCTTCCTGTATTTTGACTTCCAATTTATGAAAGCCATTCTAATTTAGCATGGATTACTTCTATAGATAGTTGCATGGCTGAAACTTGTTTCACTACTAGAATGGCCCTCCATCTAAGCACAAGCAAATGAACCCCAACTCTATGAGTAGGCTTCATCAACCCACATGGACAGGTCAGGTTTTTAATGTGGAGCATGGAAATGGGACCTGGTGATTCAATGTATGAAGGAAATGAATAAAATTGGATAGATTTAGATTTGCATATTACAGATTTGTGCTTGTTCAATTTGAGGAGAAATTCAACATCAAGAAACTGTAATGCCCTGAATTCTTGCTGCCTGCCATGTGGATTTCTTTCCACCACTGAGCTTCGTGTGAAATATTCTTACTAATTGAGGTTTTCTCAGGTCCTCTCTCTCATCTTGGGCTACTAATGATAATCAACTGTCTTTGTCTAATTATGATGCCTATAGATTTCTCTTGAATATTCTTGGACCATCTTAAACAATTTTATTTCCTTTTTATCCTCAACCAGTGTATACCTAATTGTTTGCAAATGAAAAATATTTGTTATTTTATTATATTTAGTGGCTTTCACATACACCTGAACATTCTAGTCTGAGCTATACTAACTTTTTATTCATGCTTCTTGACAAACGAACTCTATGATCCATATAGCATTGTTGGTCTAACAGCTATCTGCCATAATTTTTTCTTTTAATCTAAGGAATTCTTTATTACTTTAACTTTAGAGTGAATCACAGTGCCACAATAAGGTTGTTCCTTTGTGACTTAAGTGAACAGTGTTTGAGACATAGAAACAGTGTTTTTCGCTTTGCTTCCAAGGGTTCTTGGTGCTGCACTTCACTGCATGCTTGTTAGATAGGTTGAGCAAAGAAACATCCTCTTTCACTTTGCTTACAAGGGTTCATGGCACTGTACCTCACCGCATGCTTGTTAGATAGGTTGAGTATTACAGGTATACTACAGACCCTTCTATGCTCTGGCACTCTAGTCTTATGCTGTATGGGCTATTTGTAATTTTTAGGAAGTTATGAGGATGTTTTACCTAGTTTAATTCTTGTTAGACTTTTGTATGTGTTAGCAAGCTAAGGAAAACCTATTGCTGTTATGATGTAAGCTCAAGAGTAGCATAAATAGAGCAACAAAGCAACTGGAGAAATAAAATATTTGGAATGATTATGCCATAACTAGGCAGAGGAATATTGTTGCCGAGAATTCTTATTATGTGAACAAATAACACACACACACACACACAAAATAAGAGAATAGAAAAGAAATTTGAGGCAAAAGCCTGATACCTTACTTGGAGATGATATTTCAAACCATACTCTCATATAGAGTTCAAAATCCAACACTTGTTTTGTATAATGAAAATTATTCGTCATCCCCTGCTGTGAGTGCAGAAGAAGTGGGTATCAGCTTAGATGGTCAACGCTACTAACTTCTCAGTGCAAGGTATAATGCTTTTAACTTCTCAGTGCAAGGTATAATGCTACAAGTGTAGAAGACTAATAGAGGTATAAGTGGACTTTAGTATAAAATATTCACGGTCCGGGATCATGTGACATGAACTCTCTTTTTCAATGAGTCAGTTGCATATACTAAGTTGGCATAAATACCTTTGTCTTTCTTCTTTTGCCTGAAGCATGCGATATTTCTTCGTTATTTTAAATGTTTTGGTGTACTTGATCTTGACGTTGTGATGGCATTTAGGAAAATTCTGAGGGTTATAATGTTCGGAAATTGAGTGCAAGTTCTTGCCAAACTAAAGTGAACTATATTGAGTAACTTGGTAACTGAGTTTTTAATATTAAATATCTATGTAGCTAGTGTAATCCTCTCCACATTTGTGCTTTTGTGTCCAACTTTAGGATTTGTAATATTTTAGATGCTACCATGATTAATTATGTTCCTTCTCGTTCTTCCTCTCCTCTTTTCTCCTTTTATGAATGCACATAACACCATGATTAATGATGTTCCTTCTTATTGTTCCTCTCCTCTTTCGATATGATGTTAAGGCGGTTTGTTATCTGATTATGTCATACTTAGAATTGTCATTAATTTGTTTTATTTTCTTTCTTGTTTGGAGTTTTAGGTGTCAACAGTCGTGGTTTCCCTGGTGTTCCTGTTGGTTATATGGTTCCTTCTGTTTCATATGGCCCTGTGAGTTACAGACCAAATGGATCTGGAGGAAAATATCGAAGTAACAAGGTTAGATATTACCATCCTTGCATCTATAGTTTCCGATAGAAAGCATTCCATTTTATAGTTACTACTTTTTCATTAAGATATATATGTGAAGAGGGGTCAGTTTGTGTTTTACGTACCTCAATAAATCATTTTATTGTCTAGCGTCGAGTATTGTATAGTTTGAGGGATTATGGCTGTGTGCGCCATCCTGTGATAGCTATGCTGACATGGATTTCTAGCAAAGGTATTGGCTGCATGGCTGTTGTTCTGGGACACTAATGCATGTTGGCGACAAGGCTATTCATTAACTTTTTAGACTTTGCATTGAGAGATGCAATATGTTCACTTGGATGCACTGAACATACTTGTTGTGTTTCTGGATCTTCCTTTATGCCACATAAGTGCACTGTTTTAATAAACTGCCGGTTGACCCACCAAATGTAGTTGGCAAAATCCAGCTTCTGAACCAGCAAACTGGGCAAAGCTATTGTCAAGTTTGCATTCCTAGGTTCGAGTCAAGCATGCAAACTATGTTCCTTTCCCCAGTAAAGCGCACTCTGGAATGTGAACTATAGTTTGTATCGTCTAAAATCCAGTGGAACTGCAAAAACTAGTTAGATCTAAACAGGTGACTTGAAATCATGGTATGCAATTTCGAATGGTATCGCCCGGTATGGGCGATACGTACCGGTCTGACGGCATATCGGTACACGGACCGTCCGCTACCAGATGGATCATGCTACAGTGCTACAGTAAGAGGAAATACACTGTAGCGGTGCTACAGTAAGAGAACATCGCTCGGTATGCTCTGATGTACTGCTCGGTATGTCGGTACCGTATCATACCAAGTCAACCTCAAAACACCGGTACGGTACGGTATTGCATACCTTTCTTGAAATAACGAGAGATCAGGATTCAAGTTATAGAAGCAACCTCTTTATATTTATATTATATTGAGAGGTAAAAAAAGATGGGTATATTGGCAGATCCTCATGCCAAACAGAGGTAAAGACGGGTATGTTTGTGGACCTGGACTGTTTATAGTCCAGGACGTTAATTAATATATTGGAGTAGCTATGTTATCATGTTTACACGTTGCATATTTACCACAGCCTATACTGGTTATTTTCAAGTCTTTCAGTAGTTTTGATTTGAATGCACCATTGGCTAAGACTAGCAAGTTAATTGTGTTTGGCAGGGTGTGGCATCATCACCGATGGTCCGACATCCATCACAGTTACCTGGTGGGCATCTTGAAGATCATAGCAATTCAGTGACGATCGGAATTGCGGACGAGCATATTGGCGCTATTGTTGGTCGTGGGGGAAGGAACATAACGGAGATAAGTCAGGTTTGACCAAATATATATATATATATATATATATATATATATATATATATATATATATATACTATAGTAGTAGTAGTAGTGAGTGAGTA